ACAAGTAAATAAGGATCCAGAAAGTGGCTCCGAGAGACCAGGGAAGTCAAGAGCGATGGGGAATTGTTACTGGGGAGTGGCAGAAACTCATGATAATCAAAGCTTTCTGCAGATATCCAGATGTGTTTAACAAATGGTATAGAACTGAAACCCTTGTATGTCTTTTGGCTGATTTTCCTTTCACTTTTCAAATAACAATTATTTTGTTCTTGACCCAAGGTCAAGAATGTGGAAAATGTGGAGCCACAGAGGTTAACTTTTTAGTTTACCTATCTTTAGACTTGAGGGAAATACCCTGGAGAAACTCTACTCTGGGGCACATTAAAGACTGCTTTCCACACTTGGATCTAGTTTAGATCCGAAGTCTATAGAACAAAGACAGGCACATCGTAAGTACTTCGCAAACACTTGTTTAGTGACTGAAGAAAAAAATAGACTATAAAAGAGCATTTATTGAAATTGAGAGTAGAGAGTATTGAAGGACAGCTCAGGGTTTGTCGCTGTTAGAATGATCTGGGACCCCTTCCTCACACTTACAAACTCCTCTTAGTAACAGGTGCTGCAGTCAGTAAGCAAATTAGAAATAAATGCTTGGAAGACCAGCATCTTCATTTAGTATTAAGCTCTAAACTAATACATTTTTAAATACAGCCATAATATTTGAATTTTCCTACACATGCTTTTATAATGTAATATAACAGAGATGAAAGCTAATATTCCAGAATTGTATTATCAGTGATTCTTACATTATTTCTGTTGTAATTTAGGAAAGTTACCTTAATTCTATGCAGTTTACAGCCCTCAAAAAAAGAATAAATAATTTTAAAATATTTATTTTTTCTAGTTTTCAGATTATGCTGGAAATAGAAAAGTGGTATAATATACACAGTAATGACTAGAAAAACTACACACTATACACATTTTTAAAATACTTTTCTTCTATGCCTAACACACTAATGTTTTATTTCGGATAAATATATGAAAAATTTCCAGGCAGTTCTTACAGTGTAAAAGTTGTGTGAACTAAGTTACCATCATAGTCCAAAAAGCAGCCAAAATTTTTCAGACTTTATTCTAAAACCATTTCCCAGTCATCTCCACTAATCATCACTTAAAGTGAAGTGCTTCATTTGTGCCCCTTCACTATCTTTCTGTGTCTGTCTTGATGACCTTTAAAAGATTCCATTATCTCTTCTTATATTTGTTACAACTAAGAAACTTGAAAAATGTTTGTATCATTCAATTACATATATCTGAAAAGGTTAACGAGCTATCAATGTATGGGACATTTGGAAAATTTCATGACAATTTTCAGTAGCTTTTTTCAAAATTAGTGTATCAAGGTATTGATAAGGAAAATCTCTCAAGAGAATTAAGTACAAGAACATCTTTGTAGATGGAAAACACTGCCTATTACCCAGTGTATGATAGGGTACTGGGAAATCGTGAGATCCACCAACACTTTGAAAATTATATAGTAATTATGGGTATTAAAGATAATTTTCTCAATCTTATATTTTCCAAACTTTAACATATACATTTGAATTGCAATTAACATATTTATGAATAACTTGCTAAATATTGTTTTATGATTTTACCAAGTTTCATATTTAAACAATTTTTAAAGTGGTTTAAAGTTTCCAAGACAAAAATTCAAGACAAATGTTTGCTGGTGTTGTATGCTTATTCTCAGTTGATTTTATACTCAGAGTTTAAAATGCTAATGTTTATAAAACCTTGTGATGAATTTGAATAAAACAGATACATATACTGCATAAGATATAAAAACTGTATGAAGTACTGGAAAAACAAAACCAAATGGGCAATTTTCAAATGATGAGAAGACATACAAACAGATCAAGATGGCTTTTGGATGCCTAACAGTGTTTGTTCTGGTGATTGGGCAGGAAGACAATTCCACTGAAATGAATATGCATGCTTTTGTGGTTTAACCAAATATATCTAAAGATTTCTCTATTGTGAATATTTATATAATTTACGCCACTCCTAAATGTCAAAACCTAACATTGTATATCTAAGTTTTGAATTGTTATTATAACATGGAGACCAAAAACCATAACAAATTATTGGTGCAAATACAGATTTTAATCATTTCATCAAGCAATTTGACAACCTATTTTCAAGTTAAACATCCATAATTTGAAACTGTAGAATCATCACTTCCACTTGTAGATATTTATCTAACAGGAAGGTATTTTTACAGAAGGACTTTTTACAAATGTTTATTGTAAGTTTCTTTTTAATAACTCCTATTTGAAAAGTCCCAATTTCCACAGCCAGACAACTAGATGGTTTGAAATACTTTCATGTGGTAAACAATTTCTCTGTAATAAACAAGAACAACTTGGTTATATAGAAACAGTAGAAAAATCTCAAAGTCATTGAACTGAGTGAAAAAATGACACATAAAGTATGTGATTCATTGTACACAAAGTAAAACAGAAAAAATATTGCATGGTGACAGAAATCAGAACGGTGCTGGCCAATTAAGAGTGATGATTGGTGAAACAGTTTGCAAAGAAACAATTTTGGAGCTGACGACTGTTTCTGTAACTTAAGTGAACCAGTGTTTACACAGCATGCACACTTATCTAAATTCATTGTTTCTCAACTAATATGTACATTTCATTCTGTGTACAGTTTTTATTCCAATGAAAAAGAAAAACAAAATATTAAGTATTGGACATATACGAAGCTATACACCATCTCACACAATTCATAAAGGTAATTGACATTAAGATTCTTAAAATGCATAAAAATTTTATACAAGAAATTGTACTTCTACTGTTTGTTTGTCTGAAACAGTCTCGCTATGTAGTCCAGGCTGGCCTCGAACTCATGGAGATCCTCATGGCTCAGCCTCCCTAATGCTGAGATTCCAGGTGTCCACGACCACATCCAGTTCAACTTCTGCTTCTTAGGGAAATACTGAAAAGTAAGGATTGACTTATTTAAAAAGACTATTTAGGCTGCCAATGGCAGGCTAACTTGTAAAATTTATTTTACACATCAATCTTTTGTAGTCAGTTGTTCAGCTATTGGGTCAAAATGGGACTTGCTTGTCTTTCCTGCTATGTGACAGGGAACGATGTGCTATGTGACAGGGAACAATGGCAATGAAGTAATGAGCAGTTTTAAACGTTAGTCCTCCAAAATGATAATATCCATCTATGACAAACCAAAAGACAGCACTCTACTAAATGGACAAAACCTGAGAGCTTTCCATCTAAAATCAGGAACAAGACAAGAGTGCCCACTGTCTCTACTCCCACTCAACATAGTTCTGGAAACACTAGGCAGAGACAAGAAAGAGAAATCAGACAAGAGAGAAGTAAAAGGAATAGAGATAGGAAAGGAAGAAGTTAATTATCCTTATTCACGGTTAACGTGATACCCTGAAACTCCTCAAAACTCCACCAAAAGTCTTCTAGATGTAATAAACACACTCAGTCAGCTGGATACAAACTAACACTCAAAAATCAATAGCATTCCTGTACACAACCAACAAATACACTGATAGAGAAATTAGGGAAACCACACCCTTCATGGTAGCAGACCAAAAATAAAACACAGGAATCAATGTAACAAAGGAAGTAAAGGACCTGCTTATGGAAAATGATCAAAGAGATGTTACAGTCCATCTGGAATCCTCGGTTGACCATTTTAGAGAAATAAATGAACATATTTGGAAAAGCAACACAAAGAGTTCCAATATATAAAAATCAGCTTCAGTAAGGAGAGTGACAGTTTAAAATCAGCTATTTTATAGAAATTAATTAAGGTAGAGGAACTCAATGATCTATTTGTTTTCTTAAGTTATATTCACTTGTGTCAAATTTTATTATCTTTTATTTACTTATTTATTTATTGCTGAAGTTCTAATACAGGGCTTTATAAAATTCAAGACAAGAACTCTACCACCAAGTCACATCCCAAGCCTCAAAATTTTACTATTTTGAAAAATAAGTACCCACAAAAGGGTCATGGACTATCTTTTTTGCCTTCATGCGATCTGAATTTATTCAACTCTGGAGTCCAAAAGGGGTTCACATGTTTTATCTTATTGTTTGTGTGAAAAGGGAGTCCATTGGATGAAGGAATTCCAGCTACCTCTATATGCTGGGGTGTACTTCTAACAATACAAAGGAATTAAAATTTATTCCCCATTTGTCACCAGAGAACCCACATACAGTATTTGCATAAAAGTTAAAAATATTTGACTGCTGTTTAGTTATTGCTAACATATGGTACATCACTTTGCCTGTTCCCATAAGGACAATTCGATATATTTTCCAACAGTCTTCAGTTGATTTCTCAATTTATACTTTTTTATTTGGAATTTTTAGTGTATATTAAACATAGTCTATTTAAACTGATTCAATGAAATTATGCCTTTTATTATTGTGCTCAACAGTTGTGTTGCCTATTTGCACAGATAATATTTTATTCCATGTCCATGGGTAAATTAACGTTGCAGAAGTCTAAATTCGAAGTGAGAATTATTTTTGGAAAATACCTTATGTTTAAAAGAAGTAAATTTGGTGTAAGTTATTTAAAAGATTGATTAATTGCTATTGTGGATCCAAAACATAATGATTTCAAAGCTATTTTAGCTAAATTTTAATTTATTAGATAAATGTCTTCTTACATTCATCAAGGACATGTATGTGTTATTACAACATAATGTCCATTTTAAAACATGTCACTCAAATAGCTATCTTGTCTAATGTAAATATTTGTATGTGGTAGCAAATATTTTGATGCAAGCCTTTCATCTATTTCCAAAATGTAACAACAGTAGTCCCCTTGATGGTCACTGAAGATGCAAAAATCAGAAAAAAATTCAATTCTTTAGACAAGTTTGAGCTCCATACTGAGGATCACCAAGCTTTGTACAACAAAATATCACAATAAAACTTACCAAGAAGATTTTCTTTTTCCTTTACTCAGGAAAAATAAAAGGTTGAAGATAAGAGGAATGAACGTAATATTTTTTATTTTAAAATTAAAAACAGAATAAAAACAATGGTACAGAATTTCAAAACAAAATAGGACATTAACAAAATTAATATATTGCATATTGTGATCTTCAAGGTAGTTGTTCAGATTACAAGACACAGGTATGAAAAAAATGATTTCTGTTAATTCATCAAAGATAACATAATATTTTGAATGTTAAATACTTTAAAATTTGGGAGCTAGGAAAATTTGTCTAAAAAGAAAGGAGTAAAATAGGTGACTGAGAGCAAACAAAATAAGGATGACGAGAGCTTAGGTACAGATATCAAAGTGCACTTAGATAGTCATAGAGTCTAGCAGAGTGTGCACCACATTTCAAATAACTACAAAAAAAGAATCCAAAGTTTCTCAACACATGGAAATGGTTTAAGGCTTCAGGAATCGAAATGTTGATTACCCTAATTTGATCATCACATTGTATACAAATGTAGAATTTCATATTACACTTCATAAATATATACAAATGTTATATTAATAAAAATATTTTCTCACATAAAACTAACCCAAACTAAGTTACTGTTTAAACTAGATTGAAAAATGTAATTATTTGTTCCCCCACATCTCATAAACACCACTACCTTTTACAGAGGTGAAGGCGAGGGCTACAAAGATTAATTTTTATTGGATGTATTTTGTGCTTATAAGCTATTTATTATTTGTGCGACTGAAAATATAAAGTGTTAATAATTACATTTGAATCTCATTAGATTTGGAATATTTTAACCCAGTTGGGGTTCCTTTTCTTTAATCCCTTTACACTTTGATCTCAGTGATCAGAGATAGTGTTGGGACAGAGAACCCCATTAAATTTCATCAGGGTCTCTTCCTCACGCAATTGGACTCCTCTCTAGAACTCCTCTCTAGACTCCATGATTCAAATGCTCCCAGTCAGCCATTGATCATGTGGAGTATCTTCATGTTTTATTTTTCTCTTTAGTGTCCAAATGCCTTCATTCATAAAATGACTTCATAGTCCTGTCGTGTACTATTCCTCTGCTAGACTTCTCCTTCACTCTTCCTTTTTGTTTTCTTGCTCTTGCAGTTTTTCCCTGTCCAGTACAGTACATACGCTACAGTCCACAAAAGTGATTCTAAACACAAAGTAGACACTCCTCAAACTTTTTGAACTACTCTTTAAATTCAAATTTCCCAACATTGCCTGCCAAGAACTTCATGATCATTGTTCCTGCTTGCTGCTTTTATTAATCTCTATCAAAGCACTCATCACAGCTCATCCAGTTGTGACCCTTTGACACTAGATGATGTGCTCCTGTGACCATGAATGTGGTGTGCCCACTTGACTAGGTTCAGAAACACCTAACAGATTAGTGTAACACAGTTCTGGGTGTGTCAGTGTTTCCGATATTGTTGGCCTGTAAACAGATGCAGGAAGGCCCATCCCATTTGTGGATGGCACCATCGATAGACCTGTCGCCTAGATGGAATAAAAATGCAAAAAGGAAATTGGTGCATTTTGAAGAACTCCTGTAGACTTAGTGAGTGTGTCCTTTGTTTCCATTGCCTGGAGATGTCTTCAGTCTTTCCAGGCTTCCAAAATAGATGTATATCGAGGACTCTCCAATGAGCTTCCTGGATCTTTTTTTTGGATTGAAAGTCACCCCTTGATTTCTCTTATTCTGTGGCTTTCATCTCCATGGGCTGAGCTGCTCCTGGATCCTCTGTCTCCAGCACAGAGGTGACCATGGCGGACTCTCCTGCCTTGAATCTTGTAAGCCTAATTAATCTTTTTGTGCAATTATGTATTTTTCTATTTATTCTGTTCCTGTAGAGAACTTCAACCAATAAAGTCCCGTTTAAAATTTTTAGTTTTATGTTTTTGTTTTGATTTATTCTGTACTGCACATAGACTCTTAATGCCTAGAAAAAGTGTATTTTTGAATTGTTTTATATGAAAGTCTCTCTCATTGGCAGAACATTTAGGAGGACATGAAGACAAGCAGGTACCAACCATCATGAACTAATAAATCTATAAATCAACTATATCATCATTTTGCAGCATGAGCTATTTGATCTATGGTGGACTAACCCTTTTATTTCCCTCACAAACACCATCTTTTTCTCTTTGCCCCAGAGGCAGTCACTATCATGGAGTGTCTGTATCTTTTCCATCTATCAACTTAGACTTCTACTAGATATTTATGAAATCATACACAATACAGTAAAAATGTATTCTAGGAGAATAAAATTATATTTTGCTCAGTGTGGTATCAGCACATTTAAATAATTACATGAAAAACATAAGAATTATGTTCTGCAGATTGTTTTATAAAATATATACACAATTATATACTTTCATGTGCATCATTCAAACATACTAACACAATCTCACAATTTGCGCATCAAATTTAGTTGAAATTGAATGTGCCCACAGGTGTAGTCACAGCCCAAATCAAGAAGCAAGATGGCGGCAGCATCATGAAGCTTTCCTCTGGCCTTGGCATTAAATCTCATGACTGCCTTAATGTCTAAGGCCAAAATGTAGTTTTGGCTTCTTTTGTACCCAGCACATGCCAAATCACACAAACAATATTCTTTTGTTTTGCAATTATGTTTTCTCAACGTGTTATTTCCTACATTCTTAAGTGTTCTTACATCTAAAAGTTCTAAGAGAACATGTTCACATCACTAGGCAAGACTGCTCTGTATTAACATACATGTTTAACATCTTCTAACACTAAAGTACATTACAGTTGTTTTTATTCTGTGACTAAAGAAATTAATTCTTTTATCCCCATTCACAATTATATAGGTATCTATGAGATAAATACTTTTGAAAGAGCATGTTAGTCCATAGGGATTTTGTATATTTTTCAACTCTAGGAGGTAATAATGAACAATTTTCCTATGAGACTTAGCCAAAATAAATAAATTTTCCTGAATATATTTGTGTAGGAGAGATATTGTGTCACCCCATATTTTGTCAGTGCTTAATATAAACATTCTTTAATTTTAAAATTATAGTGAATATCATTTATTGCTTTATCTCACTTTTTGCAGATGAAAACTTTTCATGTATTTGATATTCTTTTATGTAACAAGTATGAAAGACTTCGAGCAAGTTGTTGTATTATATTTTTAAAACACTTGTAGTTTTCCATATATTTTGGGAAAGACAACTTTATGTACAATATATTTTGAGTAGTTTTTTCTAATTCCTACACACGTAACATTGCTGTTACAACTTCACACTTGCAAAGGTTTAATTTAACATTTTTTTCACTTTAAGATTGTACAAAAAAAAGTGCATTTAATAGAAACTATGCTTGAAATTTTGAATGTTTTTTTTTTTCTCTGAGCTAATGATACAGAGTAACATGACAGCTTTGGATAGGGGGCAATGGAAGATAAACAAATGTAACTGCTTAAATAACCAAAAAACTTAAACCGTAGAGGAACCAAGCTCTTATTAAATATTTTCCTTTTTGTTAAGTGCATCCAGTGACTCGTTTTAAGAAACATTTTTAAACTATATATTTTGCATCATAAGGTCATAAACAGAATTGAAGGCATTATTTTATGTAGTGTAATTTTTTACCTTGTACATTCAGGCCTCTAAATGTAGATTTTAATGTGCAGTGTGAAATCAAAGACAAAGTTAATTTGTATCTATATATCTGTCAAATGGATCCTGAATTATTTATTTGAAGAATTATCAGGTCCTACTTGATCTGAGGCACCACCAAGTAAATAAATGAAGAATGTAAAATTCTCATAGATTGTAAATATATTAAACATCAAAGATAAATCTTAATAATAAAAGCAATCCACATAAATATATCAGCAAGTTTCACTGGAGAAACTGGAAATTTGAACTCAAATTTTATCTGAAAATACAAAAAAGCCCAAATCACCTCAAAAATGTTAAAAAAGAAATGTAAATTTAGAAAATTTACTTTACTATATAGAAAGTCTCATAATAGATTTAAAAAGATAAAGTAAGTATTGTATTAGTAAAATATCTAGGGCTGGGGGTTTAGCTCAGCAGCACAAGTGCCTGCCTGGCAAGCACAATTGTATCCCAGGTACAAATATATATCCCAGATCCAATATATATATGTATATATACATGATGGCCTATGGTTGTAAACACATTTCAGAAGGCTGAGGCAAATTACTGGCAAATTCTATCCCAGTTTGAGCTCTTAGAAGACTTAGAAAAATGTTGTCTCAAAATAAAAAATAAAGAGGTACTAGAGATGTAGATTAATGCAAAGACACTAGGTTCAATTCCCCAGTGCCACACACGCATAGAGAAAACACAGAAACAAACCCACCCACACATGATTGCTCCATTTATAACAAAGAAGACACAGAAATGCAGAGATGAACTTTTCAATAGAAGGTTCTGGATCAAATGTTTATCTTTGTAAGACAAGGAATCTTCCATAGATTTTTTTAAATTAATATCACTTAACATAAACCAATGTTTTTATAACTACATATGGAAAGCTAATGCAATAAATCTTATTCAAATATCAACAAGTTTTTTTAAATTATTGTAAAGATTTCTTATAGAATAGAAAATTTAAAATATTAGGCACAAGTGAAAAGAATCTATTATGACAGTAACAGAAGGATATTTTCATGTGACCACTAATTATGCTACATCACCTGGGCTGGATTAGAAAACATCTACCAGATTAATAAAACTCAAGTCTGAGTGTGTCTGTAGGGTTTTCAGAGATGATTAGCATGTAGGCCAACAAACCCAGGGAGAAACACCCGCTCCGGATGTGATGTGAGCAGCATCCGGCAGGCTGGTACCCCGGATGGGATAAAAGGCGAAGAACAGAAGGGTGCTCAGTTTGGAAGGGCTCCAGTGGACTTGCGCGGGTGCATCTTTTGCTGTCCTTGCCCTTGAGGTCAGTCCCAGTTTCTTCAGCCTTCCAGTGCAGACTCATACCAGAGACTGGCACAGTTCCGAGGCCTGAGACTTTGAACAGGCGCTGGAACCATGGTTCCTTTAGAAAAAAAAAAAAAAAAAAAACAGACATTTAAAAAAAAGATATCTGAATTGCCAAATATTTTCTTGATTTTATTGGTAATCAGTGCAATGAAAATAAAAATCAGAATCATACACTGAACAGTCACTCAATCACCTAAAATTAAAGCACAACCAAAAAAAACAACAATTGTAACAATTTATTTATTTTTATTTTTTGGTATGCTTGGGGTTGAACTCTGGGTGCTGAGCATGCTAGGCAAGCACTGTACCATTGAGTTAACTCACCTCCTACCCCTGAGAAATTGTAATTCTTATTCATTGCTTATAGGACTTTAATGTGTCCAACTACTTTGCAAATTTTTCTGTAGCATTACTGAAGATAAACATGTCAAGCTCGTAACTCCACTGGAAGGTAACTAATCCAAATTCATAGATTTGTTCCAAAAGAAGTGTACTATAAATTCCATAGCTCTCCAAAGCTGGAAATACACCAATGGATATCTAAGGGAAAAGGATTTAATAAACTGGAGTATGCTCACATGATGGCATAATATACAGTAATATAAATGAAAAACAATTACAAAAACATCAGTGAATCATACACACAAAATCTTGAGTGAGAGAAACCAAGCACACAATATGCACTGTACAACCCCATTTATATAAAACTCAGTATTAGGGAAAGCAAACCTATGCAGTAAAGGCAAAATTATGCTAAATATTTTCAGCTCTTCTGACAGTATTTAGATAAGAAAATAAAAATGAAGAAAGAACCCAATAGCATTCTGTTCTTCTTAGAGACAAAGTTTAAGCAGAGCACCCAAAATAATGGACCGACTGTTGCTGTGTTCCTGTGGTCAGATACATGGACTGATCCCTCAGAAATTCTCTGAACTGAAAGTAGGATTTGTGCACTGCATAGATTAATTTTAATGATAATGACAATAATAAGTCTAGGCATCTACACCTTCCAGTTTGTTGACATCTGGCAAAACTGTCATCTCAGTCAGGAGCAAAGAGCTTATTAAAACTTTACATGAGAAAGTAGCTCTTAAAGTAATTTCTTTTTCCCCTTTGGAAATATAGCTACTGAACCAGTTATTTTTGATAAAGGAGATCCTTCCCATTTGATAATCCAGGAAAAAAAGGAACTTACATAATATTTACAAAGTGCTCACTTTTACAGAGGATATGATGAAGCCATTGATTAGACATTGAAGGTATAATTTTTATTTGACAGATCCTAAAGTACCTTCTGTACCAGCTTCTCTGCATTAAGCAGGATGAAGCCGACGCCCCACAGCAGACCAGGATTTGGACATGGAGCACTTTAGCAGCATGCAGTCGGCCCCAGCATGCTGTGAACATATTCATAGCAGCCTCATGGAAGTCCCAAGACTGCTGAGCCAGCAGCTGTTCACTACCAACAGGGCTCCTGTCATTACAGAGCAATCTCTTTCCAGTTCTCCATGCAATCTTTTTATAGCACGAGGCTCCATCACCACAAGGCTCCTCAACAGTAAGCAGCTGATTGAGCAGAGAACTACTAAACATAAATAGCACCTCCTTAAGTGGACACATACCCACAGAAATAGCAACGCTGTATATCACAGTAGTGGGGATGTTTTGATTTACATACAGATCAAATCAAGGAAAATATATTGGAACTCAGCCAGAAAACTCAGTTCAGATGCATGAGAAATAAATATGTGCAATAAATAATTAGAAAAATAAGAAATTTAATTTTGAAGCACACTTCACTGATCATTTTCTGTTACTCCGAAGAGCACATAAATTGCATTTCTAAATATGATATCTTCCTCATTAGTCAACAGAAAACAGAATACATTTTGCAAGTTTATCTAGAAATGGAAAGACATGAGAAGTCAGGAGCCGCTGATTCCCTGATAGTCCACAGGTTACCAAGGTAACTATACACAGGTTGTTTATGTATACAATGGAATTAATAACTGCTCTGCACTGATTACATCAGAATTGTTCAGAGAGCACAGAATGGCTGTATGTGGTGACCCTTGCCATACTGCAAAGAGCTATAAAAGGGTAAGGTTTTAATATACAGTTATAACTAATCTTTGGATCCCTTCTGAATTTTATATATATATATATATATATATATATATATGGATATTTAGAGTATGAATACATACAAGTAAATAATAAACATATCATGTTGGAAGTTAATAAATACCACTTCTTTTTAATAAGCTATACTTACTTATTTTTGTAAATTCACTGGCTTCTTTTCTTTATATTTTGACTATTTCAAATGCCTATATTCTTGTTTCTAATTTCCATATTTCCAGTTCCTGACTATATATAAATTTGATATTTTCTCTAGTTTAGCATAAAACATCATCTCTTAGATATTTCTCAAGGCTTGTCTTTTTGTCTCAATATAATAGTTAACTCTCTTGATATAAGTTTATATCCTATAAATAAATTCAAATACTATACCTTAGTTTTGTTTTTATAGCCTTTCATGCTTTTAGCAATGTTCCAGGCAGAACTGACATTGTTGGTTACAAACAGCTATGACCAAGATCATCGTAACTCTTTGTTGCATGCGTACATACCCACGCACGTGCATACACACATCTACACGCACGCCTGTACATGAACAAACACACACAGAGCAGTAGGATTATGATCCTCTTCTCTTTCCAAAACACACACCCAGCCAGCCTTGCATGTAGCAGTGCTCAACTACTTAAGCATATATTGCACAAAGGACAACATAAAAAATGTAATTTAATTTTTTAATTAAACCTCCATTTCTACTTAATTGCGCACTACACCTTCTGCAGTGCAGAAACATAATGAGAAGGAAGCAATTTCCAACATGCTTAAAGGTCTTGCACTGCTCCAAGAAGAGCCGGTTTCCATAGCAACTAGCATACCACCCTCTATTTATTGCAAATAAATGACAAATCAAAAGTGCAGCTGTAATATCAGGGGATTCTGTTTCTCCCAACACAACGCAAAGCCACAAATACCTCCACTAGCGTGGATACTGCTTGCCATCACCTAATAAGTGAAAAATGGAGGCTTCAAAATGTGGTCTTTGCATGCAGTTTTCTGCATATGGTGACTGTCACAGTGACCTTGACTTCTAATTCTGTAAAATGCCCTTGAGTGAAGGAGCAAACAGAAGGCATTATTTTCATGATGCTCGACATTTTACACTGCAAATGAGATTTGTTTGTCTTAACCTAAGAAGCAAATCAAATTCTAAATTACATCATCTAATAGCGGCTGCTCTCTATATGCCTTCAACAGGATTATTAATTTGGAAATCCAACATCTGCAAAATACTAACCTGGCCTATGATGCTAAGCAAAGGTTTTGAGGTTCAGCTGGTCGTTTTTTTCTCTCTCCATCATGCTTTCAGTTAAATGACTCTAGACCTGGAAATTGGTAAAGAAGCTGGAGGGAATCCATCAAGCTTGCTCCTGACTGTACAGCTAAGTGTCAGGCTGCCTAAGTTCAAAGCCTTTTTCTCTATACACTTATACAAGTAAGATCTTCCTCCTGCATGTGCAAAGTACACAAGTACACACACACACACACACACACACACACACACACACACACTTATTCAGTAAACACTAGAGCTTTATTGCTTTACAAAAAACTACCCCCTCTTTTAAATTGTAACTAATTCATTAATGCTCTTAAGAACTGTTGCTGTTACAGAAAATAAAGTACATTTGAATAGAGACAGTTATTTTCTGACTGCCTTTTCTATAAAAATCTGGCAATTTATGGTCAGAGATATCATTATGCTGATTCATTAGTTCTCTTCAAAATATTCTTAAAGATATAGATATGTCACCATGCAATTGTTTATGATCAGTTATCTTTAGAACAAATATATTTTACATGTACGTATTGGAAATCTAAAGCTCCCAATTAAAATACATGCATGTGTGCCTGTGGTTTGTTGTGGTTTTCATGCTTTCAGTAAAGGTCAGAGGTTGCCCAGAAAGCCAGAGGCAGTGGCTTGTTATCATCTTCTGACAGCTTGTACGGTGAAAGCCTGCCGCATGCTGTGACAGGAGAACCGCCAGCTGTCCTTCTTCCTAGTGTCTGTCTGCAGCCTGTTCTTTATGTATCAGAACAGATTAATAGAGTGTTTCATGATGCACTATTAACCTCTCTATAACTTTTCACCATTGCTGTTCTCTGACGCCCTCACTTATCCCACTGAAATAAATGCAGGGTGTCGAGGGCTAACACAATCCATTTTGAGATTCACTAAAAATGCTTGTCTCACTTTCTATGAAAAAAATGTGGATTCTACGATGAACAATAGTTAGAACAAAACCCTCTCTTCATAAAAATCCATAATATACGAGGCCAACTATAGATAGTCATTCGTTTTAGTAATGATTTAGCATGATGACTATGCTAATCAGTCTATTATATATTGATTTATTGCTAAAGTCAGGGGTTCAGATTTAATCAACTCTCATGGATAAATAAAACTGCCATATTGTTAGCTAAAAATTGCATACAAAACAATTTTTACACTTAGAAAAATACTTTAAGCAGCTAAAAAGTTATACTTATTCAACGTAATATTTTGTACTGCTTCAGTGAATCAACTTTAATAAAAATAGAAATAAAATTCTGGGTGTGAACATTTTATAGGAGTAAAACTGAAATTTATTTGTGAGTCATATTTTTAAGTGAATGACTGCTGCTTGATTACAGAAAGCACATTTTACGGGGCTGGCCATTTAGCTCAGCGGCATAAGTGCCTGCCTTGCAAGCAGGTAGTCGTGAGTTCGATCCGTGGTACCGATAAAAAGACAAAAAAAAAAAAAAAAAAAAAAAAAGTACATGTTCATAGTACATAATAATTATGATCATGGTGGAGAGTGGCTTAATATACATCTTAATTATTTTTTCATATCTTTCCTTCTCCTTCCCCTTCCTCCCCTCCATCTCTTAGTTCTCTTCCATTTGCAAAAAATCTATCTCCTTGTTTCTTGT